GATGTGTAGTTTACTTTTCCTATTAAAAAAGTTTTCCATATATATTGCTTAGATGACAGCTACTAGGCAGATTTTATCTGTAATGCCATAAAGGCTCAGGCAGCCCATGATTTCTAATTCTTACCTTTGTCGAGGTGGAAGGTTTCATCTGCGATTTCATCAACTTTCAAAGTGCCGCTCCGCTCGGAACAGATTTTGTATTTTTAAAATGCTAAAATAGTAAGAGATCACGTTTTTTCGGTATTATTTTGAACCAAGGCACATTAGCATGTCAAACATTCAAGTCTACAGCTACAGTTTCTATAGTTACTAGTGCACTGGTGTTTCACTGAACTACTGCAATATTACTTTTATAGTAACTCTGCTTCCCCCTTACTACAAGGGTAGGTCTGTAATGAGAGTTTTTGGTGGACTCATCCCATTCTAGATACTTTCAGGAGGTTTCTCAGGACCCTCTATTAACAGAGGGAGTGTTACTTAGTAACGAAGCAAGCAAGATGTAACACAATTGAAAATATTAATTTAATGTGAGATTTAGTCTTCTGTGTGTTTCTAGGAAATTGGACAGAGGGTCTCCATCTGGAGAAGAAACACAGTGCCTCATTTGAAGGAGCAGAATGGTCTCATTTTCACCATCCAAAATTGCTTTGTTCAGGTCAGTAGGAAATCTTGCAGGGAACACAAGAAAACTTGGGCATTTACTCTGTTTCAAAGGTAATTATTTTGGCCACTAAAAAAGCCAGCACATTCTGCTCCCTTGAATCCCCTCAAACTGAGAGAAATCCAGTGCCGCCCCACATACCTGCTGGCCACCACCACATTTGCTGGGTTGAGCCAGCCCAGGCTGGTAAAACACACTTGTTTTCTTTAATGTGCCACTCTTCTTTATTTCTATTTGTTTTTAAAGCAAGCCAGAGCAGTTATTAATTATGAGCATGATCCAGAGCCCACTGGGCTCAATAAAAGGTTTTCTACCGAGATCAGCTGGACCAGAGCACCCTGGGGTAATTGCTGTGCTCCAAAACAAGCATCTTTTTGTAACCGCAGGAAAACGCAGGTAGGGGCTTCTTTGCTCAAGAAAAACAAACAAGAATCTCCTGAGGGGATGTAAAGATTTCATTCTCCTGTAGTTCAATTTTTTTTTCATTTCTGTTCCTCACTCTGTGCCGCTCAGTTGACTTCAGTCAATTCAATCTCTGCTCTAAGCAAGAGGAAAATAAGACCCGAGAAGTCTGATACTGCATGAGCAGAATCACACTGCTTGGTCTTGTTTAGCCAAGGAAAAAAATTGCTACAGAAAGCAGCAGCTTGGGAATCACCGGCGAATCCCCTGTGCAATGCCCAGATTGCTCTGGAGTTGCCACGTACCCCTTTGCTCCCCTGTCACAGCCTTTACTCCCCTTCGTGGTCACTCATTAACTCCCTGCAAGCCACGTTTTCCAAAAAGCCCAGCAGCTCCATCACCCAAAGTGTTACCAGTGAAGGGGAAGGAGCTGCACAGCACCAGCACCAACCCAGGGCTGGAGGAGGGTGGCACCCCTTTAGCCCTTCACCCCCCAAAACCCTGCTTGCTTCCGACTCCCAGCTTAAGGACAACACAACGGGGCGTGAAGATAAAGGGGGATCGGCACCTCCAAAGAGAGGCAGGTCATTTTTTAGGGTTGAATGTGAAGGTGAAATGGTGCAGTTTTGGGAAGTGGAGCTGGGGGTTTTATCTTCACTCAGAGTGAAGTGAAAGGCTCAGGATAACTGTGATCACAGCGATTGCATTTTGGGGAAAGAAGAAAGGCAAGAAGGGAAAATATAAAGAGAGAAACTGTCTTTTGGTTGACTGCTCAGAGCTCTCCATCTCTGCTTGGGAAAAGAAGGCTTCAGATAAGAATTTATCAACATTCAGACAAATAATACCCTCACCTGCTGCATTGCTTTCTGAGTACAAACGGTATCTATTTTCCCTGACAAGACCCGTTTCTAGATGCCAAAAATCTACCTTGTACCTTATTTGGATCTTATAAAAGATATCTGCGGTTTTGCTGGTGCGGCTCCAGAATCCCACGCTCCCGTTTGCCTTATTCTCCTTTCCGTAGAGCCCCGGGACCCGGCTCACACTCAGATGCTGCGACCCCGCTCCGCCGTCTCCATTGCCACCTAGCGGCACCGCGCCCACGGGTCCCCGGGAAAAAGAGGGGGGTTGCTTCTTTTCAGGCCATCAAAACGTGCCCATGAGGGGTTTTTTGGTTGTCTGGTTGTTGTTTATTTGAGGTTTGGGGTTTTTTTTCCCTTCCTGAATTATATTAATCTATGTATAAAAAGTGAATTATCAGTATTTACTCCTGTTCCCTATGGCACGAATGAGGCTTGGGCTTTGCACGGGAGGTAACCCGGGGGTTGTGGAGGCGTCGAGGCTCTTCTGCACCCCCAGGTGAAGAAGAGGGGCCACAGCAGCAGGAAATGGGAAGGGAGTCCCGCAAACCCATCTGCCCATCGCATTCAAAGTTTTTAGTTGCTGTCATTTTAAAACGACCTGGAAGCTTTCAAACAAACTTTTCACTAAAGAAAAACGGTTCATTGAGTGCCTGGGTTTTTGTCTACAGTAAATAACATTCAGTTCTTCCTGCTTGGACTTCCTTCTGGGTGCTCATTTGTTTGACTTCCCTGTGGCTTTTCCTCAATACCAACCACCATTTGCTTGTATTCTTTAACGGCATGAATCACCCCTTAAGCAAAGCACAGGTAACACAGGACTTCGACCTCATTTACGTAGGTCTAGGACAAACTGTGGCTTTCATGCAGTTGCTCTGGGGATGGAGGACAGTGAAGACACTACCTTGCCCTCTTCCTCCTTCTTCCTCAGCAACCAAAAACCTCATTTTGCCTTCAAAAGTCTCCATCAAGAGGACATGGTTGGGCAGTGAGAGACATCAACCCCCAGGGTCTCACTGTCACCTGCTGTCCCACCAGTCCGACGATGCTGCCCACAGCTCCTGTACCCATAAAGGGCTTTATTAACACTATGATTTAAGCACAAACCTAAATCCAAACCCTCCTCCTCGGGTGGATTTGAGACCCTTAGGACACCACGATGACCTGCAGGTGATGGAAAACACGCACACAAGTACCTGTGAAATGCTGATTATATTTCTATACTTTTATAGCAATATAATACTTCATATGAGACTGGGGAAACATACTTTCAGATATTTTAAGTTACCTGTACACCTGCATAACCTGTTTATGGAACAGGAACATCTTGCTGTTGCTTACTTAAATCCATGACTTCCCAGTCTCACAGCAACATAATAAACACCCAGAATCCCATGAGCTTTTCTTTTGCTCTGGAAACGCCACACTCAGATAAAGTTCATTTTATAAACACTATAATTGCATTGCAATATCCATATATATATATATACATATATATAAAGAAAAACTTCTACCTTTCATAAATAGATCATACATAAAATATGTTCCCAAAATACATTCATGCATTTTCCCCGTCTAAGATCCCTGCTTGTACCCAAAGTGTCTGTGAGCTGGGAAGAGCAATCACTGGGCTTGTGTTTGCAGGTGGCTCCAAACCCTGGAGGAGGTTGTGAAGAAGCCTTTGGTGTTTGGGTGGCGTTGGGGTTAACTCCTGCACCCCTGGGTCTAATCCTGCCTTCCTGGAACAGCAGGGCTCTCGCTGTGCCCCATCAAAGCTGCACCACCTTTCACCTTCCACTTCACCCTCAGCACCTCCAGTTTTTCCAGCAGTTACTGGAGGTGCTCAAGTCTCTCCCAGTGCTTGACAAGGGCTGGGAAGCAGCTTCAGAAGCGGGAAGGGCACTGCCTGGCTTGGGTGGAAGCAAACAAGCTGCTTTCTTGACCACCATCCACCTGAAAATCGACCACGCTCCCAGCACCACCATCCCCACCTACAATGGGAATGGCTTCACTTCCACTCTGAGAGTTGGTCCTTTGCCAACAAAGGAAACAAAACGTCTGTCCAAAGCATAAATACCCAAAATATACAAAAACATCTACAATGTCATCCCAAGCAGCTGCTGGCACAACAGAAGCACCAGTTTTGCAGCTCAGTAACATCAGTCCCATCCCCGTGAATGCGGTTTATGCAGTGCAGGGCTCCAGGGGCCGGGCACAGCCCTCCCCAGAGCTGTACCTGTGCAAATACAGTCAGGCTCAGCACTAACCTCTCCTGAGCCGGGCTGTGGGGGAAGCCAGACATATGCCCACCCAAATTTCACTTTTCCCCCTCTCAGAATGGTCCTGGTCAATATGGAAGTGCACATTCAAAGGTCATTTTGGAAATGCTGCCCTCCTTACCTGCAAACAGGTCAGCTACAGGTCAGCACCCCCTCTCCGCAAGGCAGTCTGCCGTTAGGACAAGCTCTCCCTTAAGCTAGCGGTTTAGAGGCAAATTAAATTCATTCTGACTTGTCTCATCTACCCCAACCCAACGTCTTCGCAGAGCAACCGAAGAGAAGCATTGCATAGATCAGCACCTCACGTCTTCCCGCACCCAGCAAACAGCAAGAAATAAGTTCAAGTTTTGCACAGTACATTACAAAAGGCTTCATCACCTTTAAACAAAGCAAGAAAAAAAAAAGTAAAAACTAAGTGTCACCACGGTGTAAGCCCTGCAATGAAATGAGGCAGTGAACGTACAGTGCTCGGCAGCTCTTGGTGATGGCTACACGTAGTGTACTGATGAATTTGCTAGACAAATCTCATCTCAAACCCATCTCCCATTGCACAGTAACGTGAATTTGCATAATTTAGATAACCAGCTCCTGAAGAAAAGGAGCGATGCTGTGTGTCACAGGAAGGAAGAGGACACCGTCGCGGCTGTCCACTTGCATACAGTAGTTTAAGGGACAGATGCCCTCTTTGCAACGCAGACTGGGGACAGCAGGGCTCTTTCCAGGCTTCGGAAGTCTCAGCAGAAGTTTTGCTACAGTTGGCTTTACAATAGAGATATTAGGGACCAGATCCTCTGGTGGTTTAAACCCCACAGGCTCCATTGGAGTTACCGGTACTTATTTCCACAAGTGGAGAACGCAGTCCTTGCTTGCCACAGACATAGACTAAAGCTACGGTAGCCCTTTCTTTAAATAAAATTAAATAGCTGCATATGGCATCAGCACACAATTTTAAATGTGCTTCTGCTGTTAAGAAAATAGCAAGCACACCAGTGGTTAATTAAATTATTTCTCTTGAACTAAAAAAGTGATAATATTACTATTAATTTAAAAACCCCCTAGGGACTGCATAACGTCTTCTCATGGTATTTTTGGGACTGAGAAAGTCACTTCCACATGTATGGAGCTATATATCCTCTTCGGCCGGCAGCGAAGGTTTGTGTTCCTGGAGGTCACCATTGCCACTTTCGGATGCATCCGAGCTGCCTGGCGCCGACTCCGGTGGTGGGGGTTTGTAGAGTAAACAGGCTACCACGAAGAAGGTTGTCCCGAGCACCTGCAGCCGTGAAGACATCTCGTCACTCTCTGCTCCCCCCTCAAAACCTGCTGCCCAGTCCTCATCTGGGATGAGATTTCCCGACCAAGTTTTTGGGAGATGATACTGAAGGCCAGACTGGGCAGCAGACCAGCACACAGAGCCAGAGTAGGCGTAAATCTGAATTTAGCCAGGCACATAGGAATGGGACAGTGAGAATTTGGGAAGCCGTTCAGCCCCACAGCGCTGTACGGGCCAACACCACCCCAGCCATTTGCTGGAAGGCTTCTGAAATCCTCTTTATCACAGCAACTGCTACACACTGCTACCCAGGGCAAGGGCTTGTTTGGCAGCAGTTAAAGTGATGGTTTTCAGCTAATAAATAAAAACCACACAGCTGAGCTCTCGTATTTTCTAGCAGTGATTGGGGAATGGTTATTTACAGCCTGTCCACAATGCCATCCCTCACTCTCACTCAAACACTGCAGTAATAGATTTTACTCCATTTCTAGCAAAAAATCACTTTAGTGACTGTTGGAAGAGCAGGAGATATTTCATATGGTGTGGCAGAAGCTGTTAGTCTAAAAAGGAATGGGAATTTTAGAGAATGATGGGGCCTGGAGCACCATCACCTGGTGAGAAGCAAATGGAGCTTTTGCCTTTCCCAAGTACATCTCTTGCATGAAGGTCTAATTTTGGGGAGCGGGGCAGATCAGGACAACCCGATTTTGGAAAATTCTCTCCCAGAGCAAAATGCTGTCTCCTAAAGACCTGCTCGCTTCATCAGAGGGTGAAGTTAACAGGCAGCATCACCTTGTAGACCAGTCCAGCGATGAGGGTGTATCGGCTCATGGCTGAGTTCTGGTAAACGTAGCAAGAGCCTTGCTCGCCGCACTGGTCCTGCCAGAGCAGGCAGGATTTGTCAATCATGGACCCAAAGGCGATGGGGCCAGGGATGCCTCCTGCAGGGAGAAAGAGCAGACCTTCAGTTTGGATAGCACCTTAGGCACCAGCCTTGCAAAACACTACCGTGATTAAGCAAACTCATCCCACAACATCTAAAGCCACGAGGTATTCAAAATACACTGAATTTCAAGACCTGAGGCTCCAGCGGGTCTTTTGACCATCATGTTGCACAAGAGCCAAAAGACATACACAGGAGCAGCAACACCTCTGCTCCTTTTTTCTTAAAATAAGGATGCATTGGCAGGATATTGCTCCTCCACCCCATCTGTGACATGCTACAGAGCCCTTCATTCAGTTTGCAAATCACATGCAAAGGGAATTAGATTTTTCTGAATGGCAGCAAACAAGAGGCAGCACCCTCCTTTCAACAGTGGGTGTCCTATCCCTTTCTTTTCCAACCCAGCGTGTTTTATTCTTAGGCAACAACTTGGCACGCTCCCCACAAAGCCAACGGCCCGTACCGATGTGCAAATTCACACTGTTCCATACCTAGTGTTCGTACCACGATCCACTGGATCCCGAGTGCGAATGACCTTTGCCTGTCAGAGACACACCTGGGGAACACAATGGGGTTGTTTCAAAATGCTGTCAGGCTGTCATGGCACCTCCTCACAGAATCACACAGAATCACAGAACG